TATTCAGTGACATTGCCGACTGCTACAAGAACTGAGGGGACATCGTGTTGAGCTGTTTAGTCCTTGAGAATGGATAATGAAATCAGTGGATTGAAAAGAGGTATACGAGTTGATAGGAGATTCCTTTCGAACCTTTTGCGGACGACATTGTTCTCTTTCCGAGGAATATCACTGGAGTGGATGATGAAAGAACAAAAGGAAGTAAAGAAGCGGATAGGACTACGAATTCAACGGAGGAAGACTCAATTCAGAAAAAAACGCTTTTTTCGAGGGTCAGCAAATGGAATTAGAAGGCTCTCTAAATGCGGAGACTCTTCTTACGTATATCTCATTCGATGAACATGGAGAATGAGAAGAACTAAACAGGAGGCGAAGAGCGGGCCGCTTACGAGCCCAAAAAGAAGCCACGACCAGCTGACGGATTCAGAGCTCCGACCCTACCTGTTCTACCTGTTCGATTCAACTGTTCTCCCTGCGCTTTACGCAGCAGAGACGTGGCCTGACAGCTACATCGAAGCTCTCCGAACAACTCACAGACCACTGAGACGTCTTCTGAAGTACAATCTACGCACTCAAAATGTCGTCCGACTTTGCAGTCCATATATGAGATCGATATCTCATCATCGTGATCCAGCAGTACGTTTTCAAAGCAAAATGTCGATGGGCTGGTCTAAAATACGGAGGACAGACAACAGATGAGCTCTAAGAACTCTGCAATAAGTCCTTCGCAAAGCAAAACGTCCTCGAAGAAAGCCACCGATCAGATGGGCTGGTGTTCGTTGCACGGATGGACCAGTTAAATTCTCAGCTGGTAACGATTAATAGATCTGTACCTTGCGAACATCACCTCGCAGTTCAATACCAACATCGTGGATGACGCGAGCGAGAAACAGAACGGATGAAAACAATGCGGGACACAAGTTGAAGACAGCCCATCTATAAGTAGGTGATACATCGAAAAGATTTTGTAACAGAAACTGTGTCTGCAAGAGTAATTGCATTTACAGCTGATTCTTGACAGTAAATTTTTTCTTCCTCACATTCATTAACAACAAGATGTGCAGCACAATCTTTGACGTTTAAGAACCTTAATGTGATTAATTAAAATGAAGCAAAACATATTTTACCATACATACTTCACATCTTCCCTTCCTTCTGTTCTTGGGACCTTTCCTTCTACTTGTTGATTTCTAATTTTTTTCAACTTACAAAGGAAAGCGCATACATCGTATATTCAAATAACTCTAAACCAGAAATATGTGTGATTGTTCCAATCGCCAAGAATAACATTCTATAGCCAAAAACTTAAATAATAATTTTTTCTCGAGAAAACATGTACTTTCAGCCCTGTAATTTCCTATAATCGCAGATTTCTTTCAAAGCATTAGACTTCATTTCATTTAGCTCCATAAAGGAAACTTTCCTAAACATGATTTCCAAAAAGGAATATTAAAGGGCCTTTCATTTCAAAGATATTCCCTAGTAGGTTTTTTCAAACTGCGTACATTCCTCCAATGATAATTTCAATCAGAACCTCGGTAGAAGAACGAAGGAACCTAATTCTGCTGCATACTTTATTTCTTGACCAAGGAAAAATCATCATCTTTGTTGATTTTCAGCCATTCATGGTAGTAAGCGTCACGTGAAACTGCGGCCGCTTACGTCCTTGGGACAAACCTTCCTTAGTATGGTTCCAGTTTCCTTCTTTGCTAAACGATTGAACCATGTCTCATCAACATATCTAAAATGTTTTTATTCTTTCTCATACATCTTGGCCCTTCTTTTCGGGTAAATATCATGCGCCTTCCATTGGCTGTTTTGGTAAGTAGTCATGTTTTTGTATGTTATTTTTTGATGAGTGTACAGGTGGCAAAGGGGACATATCTGATGATAAACTTCGTTCAAGTATGGTTTTAGATTAGTATGCCACCTGAGAAATTTGTCTTTGGATTGTCCATTTTTTACATAGAATTATGAAATATCTCCATTTTCTAATCATAACTCCTAATAGCTGATGGACCATAAAATCTAATCACACTCAAAAAAGAGGTTACCTAATTTGCCCCTCCTGCCTCAAGAATGCTGAACTCAAGGAACTGCGTTCATTTAGAAAAAAGATGATTATTCAAACCGTACTAGTTACCAAAAGCGGGTTGAAGGCGCAAAATATTCACGAAAAGAAGAGTGAAAATTTGCGGGATATCAAATGAACATAACGCGTTTTAAATAGAAACAACTAATTAACATCCTCACTGACTACCTTATTTGCGAGGCAACCAGCAAAACATGAGGATCTGTCTCAATACTTAAAGTTGTTTCCCTATATACTCATGGAGTTCTCGCTCTGTCATCCTCATTGACTTTAAAATTACTTAATGTTCATTTAATACTTTTCTGTTCCTTCTCAGAGAAAACTCGAGTTTTCCTGTCAGAGGCACTAGACATATCCATCACGT